CCCAGTTGAACTTTATGTATGCCGGATAAGTGTACTGTATTTCTACTATTTATTTCCAGCAATGGAATAAGAATACTGTAATAGAGTATCAATGGATGTTTACTTGAAATGGTGTATCCTTTATCATATACTTGCCTAGGTTTATGGTACTTTCAATAGTACAGTGTTAGCCGTTGTATAATAAACGTTGAGTTGATTGTATTACACTGCATCCGAGCAAATTCTTTGGAACTTAAGGATAAAACCTGGGACCCGGTATTAAGACCGGTTACAAAAGGAGTCTTGGTACGGGACACCACTCCACCACAATATACGCGTGACAAGCGTCGTTGCCGCTGCCCAGTACGGCGGTGGAGCCTTGATTTATCGAGTAAAGCACGTTTAAAAAATCGGACGGACGATTCCCTGTATTTAATTTGTTGCGAACGGTATGGCAATAAGATGGACCAATTACTTTCAGAGGTATTAACCGAAGACATCGTTTGTAAAATATGAGTAAAACTGTATTCACTATACTAATTTATATAGTACGTTTGTTATTATGAATGTACATTGTTGCTTGGCGGTTATCCAGCCATACAGAATTGTTCGGGAAGTAAAACCTTCATGTATATTTTATCGTATTTATACAATTTAAATAACACCACCCCCTCCCCCACCAAATGAAAACTACTGTAATAGTACAAATCTCCGGAATGTTGTGCACGACCACTCATCAGTATATCGATGATAAACACTCGAGACGTTCTAGTAAAAATGCGGGTTCAAGACTATGTGACACATGATTTGTTTTTTCTATGCGATGCATTTTATTGAAATTATAATTGAATACACTCGTGGAATTAATTCGTAACTAAATCGCTGTCTATCGATTGTTCGTCGGGATTACTGCGTTCTTCCGAATCTTCTAATAGTACGCGTGTTCAAGTATTCGTAAGTTCAATACGTCGACGTCTTTCTTTGTCCAGTTCTTTTTTGTATAATTTCAGTTCAGTCAATTTACGTTCTACAAACTCGTCGTATTTGGATTCCGTATCAATCTCGTAACAGAAGCCTTCCGAGTCTTCAAAGCCAATTCTTTGACAACCGGTCGTTTTACATTTACTAAACCGTTTAGCTACTCTAAATCCGGGACGACAGCTAGAACAAAAACCGAGATTTTCTCGGGATCCGTACAAGTCACACCCTTGACGTTTACATTTCTGTGAGTTCTTTTTAGTCGTAGCGTGTAAACTTGCCGCATAGCAACGTGTACAGAATCCATCCGTATTCGATGATCCGAAATATTCGCAGCCTTGTCTTTTGCACGTTCGCTTGTTCTTCTTGGAAGCTGAATGTTCGTAACATTCGTGACATAACGAACCCGTTGCTATAGATGTGAAATAATCGCAACCGTTAGTAGAACACTTCATGGGTAAGATAGAACTTCGCCATGATGATTTCGTTCACAAATGAATTTGTGTTGTTAATACGAGTTCTTTTTTATATGTTTTGTTTGCAGATACGACATCGACGACGATGCATGAGTTCATCGTAACCGCACGACAGTGATTTGAAGCGTTCGTAATCGTGCAGACCGGTCGCCTGCACACATCGGAACATAAAGAATACCACTTCTTCCATGGGATCAATGTACTCAATCCTCCGACGACGACGGCGGCTTCTCACGGTCGTCTGTAGACGAAGTCCCGGGAACTCTTTGTTAAACCAATTGACAAGATCGTGATGTAATTCTAGAAGGGATGTATTGCCGTGTAAACTGCGCCTACATTTCAGTATCGTGGCTACAGTTTCTTTCATGCGCGAAAAATCACACAATAAGTCAGTTCTCGTGGCCAGAGATAATAAGAGAGTTGCCACCAGAGTTACACGTTCCACGTCGTCGTCGTCACTATTGTTATCGCGGCGATCTATCTCGACGTGAAATATTTCACGGAGAGCTGGATAAATTGTACCATTATCTGTCATGAGTCGGATTAAATCGACCGACGGAGAATGCTGCGACAATACCTTGTTCAATAAAAATCTCCCGTTCTCTAAGGACATCATCGTGATCTATAAATATCAAATCAAAAGTGAAGTTATTCATTAACAGGATGGAACGCTACGTTACTCCCCCAATAAAAAATTTGGATCTTTACGATATGTGGAAAAAACACGTACGTTGTTTCTGGACTAAAGATGAGATTAACATAACTTCTAGCGACTTGCGAGAATGGAACGATTTAACGCCCGACGAACGTCAATTTTTTAAATGTATATTGGGTTTCTTTGCCAGCACCAATATTATAGTAAGCGATAATTTAGCTCTTCGGTTTTTAGCCGATCCAAATATTTCGCGAGAAGCGCGATGTTTTTATAGTTTTCAAATCGCTATGGAAAACATACATTCAGAAACTTACATCGAGCTGTTAACGGCCTACGTACCGGAAGAGAAGGAACGTAACGAGCTCCTGTATTCAATTATTTCGTGGCCGTGTTTAAACGTGAAATCTAGATGGGCTGTCAAATGGATGAATGACGAGTTTGCGACTTATGCTGAACGACTAGTTGCGTTCGCTGTAGTTGAAGGAATAATGTTTTCATCGTCATTTGCTGGCATATATTGGATTAAGCAAAGTGGACTGTTAGCCGGTCTCACACAAGCAAATGAATTTATTTCTCGTGATGAAGGTTTACATTGCACGTTCGCTTGTACGATGTATGGAAAAATAAAACCGCGTTTACCCGATACCAAAGTTAGAAAGATAGTCTTAGAAGGATGTGAAGTTGAAAAATTATTTGTTAAACACGCTCTGCGTAAACCTCTCTTGGGCATGAATTCTCATTTGATGGAAACCTACGTGAATTTCGTCACGGACAACTTATTGACAGACTTAGGTTATGAAAAAGAATTCGGTGTCAACAATCCATTCCCATTCATGGATAATATCTCTATGCAAGGCAAAACAAATTTCTTTGAAAGGAGAGTCACTGAATACACGCGTCTGACTGGCCATGGTTTTACCACTTCAGTCGAATTCTGATATATTTGTTTCTTTCTTTCTTTCTTTCTTTCACCATTTACGAGTAGTATGTGTAACGATTAATGTCACATTGTTAACATGATGATGATGAAATATATTAAAAGGTTTCTCGCAGCGCCGGTGACTTGGTGTTTTCGATCAAAAATACTCCGAATTGTAATCGCACTTACCCTGACATACGCGATACTAGCGTTCATATTCGCTAAATATTATACTGTAGAACGATGGCAGATATACGGTAGTTGTCATAAACGGTACTGGGTTGTGGGATTGAACAAATGTAAACGTAGAACAGAGGGTGTGGACGTTTACACGCGATGGTTAATAGCTACGGGTATACTGTCGACAATTATATCTATCGTCGTTCCGTATGTGGCGGAATGGAAATGGGGAAATATACATTCCGTTCACGAATTGCTTTCATTGATACAATACCACAAAAATATATGTCCGACCAAGCTCGACTGCGTTGACGAACAACGGGTATTAGAATTAATGTTAGATTACCACGACGACGTCGTCGTTGTACGGCGACTAGATCATAAGTTTTCGAAATCTATGCAAATTAGAGCGAGGAGATTGGAAATCGTCAAACATGTATGCTCGTGTCTAGTTGTCGAATTATACATGGCAAAGAAAAATAAACGCTACGTTCTATTTGCGACATTATTATTACTCGTATTAGTAGGCGGGATATTATTACCTTCAGTATCCGCTGCGATAATTATGCGAGACGCGATGTGGTTCTTTCCCGTGTTCATAGCTACAATTGGAATGTACATATGTCCTCTGCACGCTCTCTGTATAAGTATTCCATCGTCTGTTACGTTTAGTACCACATACTCAATAATGTTTCTGTTACCGACTATTTCGTGGGTATCGTCATCTGTGATGGCTATTATTATTTCATACAAACGTGAATGTATAGACAAAATTTCTTTCGTAAAAAAAAAATGCAAACGACTAGGTTTGAATAAAAGCGAATTCGATGTAGCGTTGTTTGTAGCAGGGTACGATGCTCATTTGTTTCGATAGTCGCGCCAACTCAACATGAATATAAATACGGGGGGCCAGGCAAAAACAAAACTGCGTTCAATCAAAAATGTTACCGACACAAGACGTGACCGGTACACTGACGAAATTCCAACAAATATGTACTACAATCAAATTGTCTAGCGAAGAAGCTTACTTATCCAAGATTGAATTGACTACAGGTAATTTATTTATTTACTATGTTCTGGGGGAGTGAGGAGGAGGAGGATGAGGAGGTGGTGGTGGTGGTGATGATGAACGACTCGGACGATAAATTAAATTATATAATTCATTTAATTGATTGCAGGTGTTGATAAAGATAATGGTATCGTACGAATATGTATTCCATTAAATCTACGATGTTCGATTCATGATGATCGTGGCGATATACCCACTTCGACGACGTGTAGTTTATGTAACGTGGGTAATAAACATTTCTCCGTACACGTCGACATACTTGGAGAACACGGGACGTCCACCGCACAGTTATGGTTAAGAAATTTGAAACGTTACATCGAAGGATGGAAATACAAATGGCATATTGAAAATAACAATATACTCTACTTATCGACTCGAGCTGCTACTGCAACTCCTGGATCGTTTATAGTCGTATCTCGGAAAGCTCGAGAAGTAATGGAACATTTAAAGAACGTAGTCGAGGCACATCGACAACTGACAACTGAATTAGTAGATAATACTTGGATGAAATTGGAATGCATGAAAATAGGTCTTCTCGAAATTTTAATCCCTGCCGCTTATAAAACAATATACCCGTTACACGATTCTGTAGGACGTGCTTGGATTAAACAATGTGTTTTTTTAATCGATAAGTATCTATATCGGAAAATGGATTTGACATTGCAATACACGTGTCCAGCGTCCCTACTGGATAAGGAAAAGCACATCAAACAAACAATTTCATTAATAGAGTCTGATAGGTATATTCCAAGCGTCATCCGGGACTGCGCGACTTTTCCATATGCAAGTTTGAAAAGTATCATTGACGAAATGAAAGAACTCAATCTTCATTCTACGTCCACGTAGCCGTTCACTCCATACAGTCGACTGTATCTTTTCAAAGGTGGACAAAATGTATCGTATTTTTGAATTTCTAGAGCTTTTTCGAATACGTCCTTCATAGAGGCTCCGTTTATTCTGACAAGAGAGTATAAATATTCGTAATGATTGTGATTTAATCGATATACACTGATCCTGTAGTTCAATCGAGTCAAATAATGTACTACTTCAAAAATCACGAAACCCGCTACCGATGACAGTGTTACGACCATATGGGGAATTCCTGGCACTAATGCCAAAACGGTGCATAAGACGAAGATCGTCTTCACGGCGATCACCGCCGTGTTAATTCGACTTATCAACGCAATACTTTTGGAGTAGGCCATGCACGTCCTGTGCAAATAATCTTCGAATAGTTCGACCGATTGGAACACTTGTAACGCCACCATTGTAA